TGCCACCCCATTCACTATTACCCTCTGTGCTCAACCTGTGGGCCAGTTGCTCACCCACTGCATGGTGTGTTTATCCAGCCGTGTGCTGGACGGTTTGTACAGAAGGATACTATGAGAGTCAATAATGTAAGGTCTTCAACAAAACACAGAAACCCCGCCCTGGCCAGAAAAGCAAGGTTATAGGCACTACAGCAGAATTCTGCTTGCCCAGGGGAAGGAACCCCTAGCTTTCCAATTCTATGCAGTGTTCTGAGTCACACATGGACTTACTTTGTTGATTTCTTAATGAAACCTAGATCTAAAAAAAGATAATATTTTTTCCTTTGTTTTCCTTATCAAAATAGAAGGAACAAAAGGCTAAGACAATTTTTAAATTGCACAATGGTAGTCTCTCTTCCTAAACTATGTAATAGTGTGCAGGAGAGGGAAAGCTATCCCCAAAGTACACTTTAATACCCACCTAACCTTAAAAGGAAAAAACAAAACCAAAGCACAAGCACAGAACCATAAATCCCAAGTGAACTGGCCACATGCAATAAGGGATACACCTACGGATAGGTGCTGACAGCAGCCTGGAACTGGCTTCTGGCTGACATTAATCCCCTTGTCAGCTGTGTGAAAAGATGCATACACAAGCTTTAACCACCTCCTCTGAAGACTAATTTTCTTATTATTCCGTCCTCATGGACTGTGAGTGTCCTACAGAATGCCTTAGGAAGCTTCTTAGGAAGAACTTCCTGTATGTAAAGAACAACTCTCAGAAGAAGCCAAACATTACCTCCTGAGTAACGAATACCCGGTACAGTTCCTCAGGAGATGTTAAAAAGGTGTCCTTCAAGCTGATCTTACAGGTAGGGATCTTGACTCCTATGGATTTGGACTGCGATGCGGCAGGACTGCTCTTAGCAGCCATCTAACAAAACAACAAGCAAAACAAACACACACACACTTTTTTTCACGAAAAAAGCAAAAATCAGTAAGTGGTTCACATATCCAAGAGAAAAAACAAAGGCTTTTAGGTTTTTTGTAAGGACGCAATTAGATACAACCATATTCGAGTGCAAAAGGGAGATTTATCATTCTGCTTGGAAGAAACATCATGTCCTGCAAATGGAAACAGTCATGTCTATACCACAGATTGCCAATTCCTGAATGTATACAGCCTATACACAACACAGGTTGCTCCTGTAAGCCCCAGTATCTAATACCATGTACCTTTCTTCACAGATCCCAAAGCATGTTTGCACAGTTTTGTTTACCTTGCGGTCTTCTGCTTTAGGAGCCACCTGAGGTGTTGTTTCCATATGTTCACCATTCACTGTGGGCAAAATCATGCCCTGGGTGAATTCTGGAAAGAAAATGTGCCAATGAAGCCAACAAAAGATCAAGTAAACCTTTTAATTGTTCTTTGAAATACACAATCAAAAAGGGTTTCCTGGTTTCCCCCCTGCTCCTGGCTAGCATCCATGACTTGAAACAGTTTCCAGAAAAGGAAAAAGACCTCTTTTTACAAGCAATTAATTATTCTTGCCCTCACTATGCTCCACCAGAGGCCCTGTCAGAATCTATCTACCCCAACAATTAGGAACTTACCTCCTCTTGGTAGCTTAGACACACCATCTTCCACATGCTGCTCTAGCATTAATGTTAGTTAGCCTTAGACTTCTGTAGCTTTTCTTCTCTCTCTAATATAATTGCAATCACATCTCAGTACTTTTGCCTTGTTGCTCTAGAAAAAGTATTTGTCTGACCAAACCAAGCTTTTCCATTTCTCTTTAGATTGGCTCTTCATTTCTCATAATGTTGTAGTAGAGATTAGTTACTTCTGGCTCCCTCTTCAATTTATCTTTTTTGACACCAGATGACAGGACTACACAGGGAAATGCAGGGACTGTCTCACCAATGCCCTGTCCAGCAGCACTAGCATTTTGTAACTCCACCAGAATCTTCAGACTCGTTCAGAATTACGTTTGCTTTTTTTCCAGCTCCGCCACTTCTGCCTTTACCAATTATATAACATTTTGCCTTTTCTCCTTTCTCTTCATCTGTTCAAACTGACAAAGTTCCATTATACAGTAGAATTTTATCATGTGTATAACCTTGTATCCCACAATACTTGGTTCCCACCTACTCTTATTTGTTACAGCCCACAAGATCATACAGTTTTTCCTGATTGACATTCTCATCTTCCACTGGGTGACTGCATCTCCCACCCTGAACACTACAACACCTGAAAAAAATCAGCATACAGAAATTTGATCCTAGAAAGTCAGCCATCAGTGATGGTTGTACCCAGCATATCTAGCACATGTAGTGTAATATAGGTAAATCAATATAAAAAGCAACTGTGAGTTCTCAGCCTGTATTTGAGAGGAAAGTCAAACTTAACCAAGATACAGTGATTTAACTCCAACTGCTAGACTCAGATTTAACTTAAAAAAAAGAAATTTGATCCAGTTGCTGAGAAAGCTCATTAAATAACACCAACAAAAGCTGCTGAGCAATTTCCAGACACCAGATATTCTAAAATCTAAGTAGCACTAGATGCCTTTATGAGTGTGGCAAAAAAGAAAATAACACAAACTGGAGAAGACATTGCCTTCCAAGGGAGTAAACAAACTGAAGGCCCAGTTGTGCCACAGGCAGTAACCATGTCACTGGGGTAGCAAACACATTTTACTGGCTTTATTTTCTATATAGTTCAGCTTCAGCACATGAAGGACGTTCTCAGTTTTAAGACATAAGTCCAAAAATACTGTTTATTACTGGGTTACCACTAAACCTGTGCCACAGTGTCTAGACACAGAAGAGTTTCTTGCCAAATCCTAACAATTTCCGAAGAGACAGAAAAGTTGCTATTACTGCTCTGACACCTTCCTGTTGAGATGGGGAGAGGAACTCCTCTTGTTACCCCCATCCTTTCTTTAGCTTTAGCCCATATGGGTTCCCATAACACTTCTCCCTCTCAGTTACATACCTGTTTTGAGAGTGCTGATGTAAGTTTTCATCGCATCTCTAATTTTTTTTGCACCCTCTTGCCTCATCAGCGTCTTCAAGTTAGTGTCAGGCTCATCTTTAGCAAGGCTGACAAGGATCTAAACAACAAGGACAAGTATTAACAATGCCATACTTGCACAGTCCTTTTGTTACTCAGTTCAACATCACAGCTGATGTGTTTCAATTTAGTTTCAGCTAAACTTTCACAATCAGCAATGCAGTTTTATTCACCTTCCACTTCACCTGTCTCAGCCTACAATAACAGGCTGTGTACCTAAATACCTTCATGTGCTACAGAGCCCTTACATCTAGAAGACAGGAATAATTTGATAAAGATACAACATGATGTGGAGCAACTCTCTGTCAGAGTGCAGCGAGAGAACGAAGCATGACGGTTTTAAGCTGAAAGAGATTAGATTTAGATTAAATATGGGAAGGAAATTGTCTGCTGTGACGGTGGCAAGGCACTGGAACAAGTTGTTCAGAGAAACTATGGATGCCCCATCCCTGTCCTAGACGAGGTTGGACAGGGCTCTGAGTAACCTGGGCTAGTGGAAGGTGTCCCTGTTCAAGGCTGAGAGGTTGGACCTAGGTGATCTTTAAAGATCTCACCCAACCCAAACCATTCTTTGATTCTGTTAAATTCAGCAATGTCTACTAACATGGAAGGAAATATTAATGCTGTAAATATTCCTGTTAGAACAGCCATACAGCCAGCAGCATTAGTCTTCAGTTGTGCTTACCTCAACTTCATCGATGTCATTTTCGTCCGAGAGATTAGGAATCTCCACATAACCTTTGTACTTCACTCCAGTCTTTGAAGTGCCTGCAATGACAATTACGTTGTGCAGATCAACCCTTCTTACTCTGGTAACAGCAAACTTTTATTATTATTTCCAAAATGAGATAAGTATCCTTATCCTTAACATTATACACGAATCTGACCTTGAAACAGGAGGGGAGCACATCACTCACCAGTCCAGGCCAGCTTGATAGCCCACTCGTAGAAGAAGATAAGTTTCCCTTTTCGGTTGTTGATGGAGGCCTCTCCATCCAGTTTGCTCACTTCTGTTACCTCACAAGCCCCTTCCTCACCCTCCACCCTGACAGGCAGGAGAAGAGTTTTCAGCCGCTCCGTGGACCAGTTGGAAGCATCCCGCTCTGTCCTGCGGGAAAAGCAGACAGGGTGAGAATCTGGAACAGGCCAGCAAACACCGGGACCATCCAGTGTTGCCTGGTCCTTGTCTCCCTGCCCCGCTCCAACACACACACACAGAGTCCTTCCCCATGGCACCCCCACACACGCATGGAGCCGGGGGACGTCCCGGGGGATCAGCCCAGACACCCCCGCCTCAGCACCAGCGCACAGGAAGGGGAGGGAAGGCGGCGGCCCTGCCCAGGGCCCCGCCGGGAGCACCCCTCGGCCCCGGGCCTCCCCGGCAGGCCGTAGCGCGGCCGCCCCGCTCACCAGTGCCAGTTGTTGACGTTGGTGGCATCCGCCCGCTGCTCCACGATCCAGCGCGGGTCTCCCTCCCCCCACTTGGCCATCGGGACCGGCACCGCCGCTTCAGCTCCGACCGCCCGTGGAAGCTGCTAGAACGGCCGCACCGCCTCCCGCCTTCCGCCCGCCCAGGGCCTTTCCGGCACGCCCCCGCGGAGCGACACTTGTCTTATTGGTTCCGCGTGGTGTGTTGGTTCCGCCGCGCCGCCGACAGCTGAGGCTGCAGCTGTGGCTCCCGTCCCGTCGCGGCTCGTCCCCGCCGGAGCACAGCTCTCGGTAAAGGCCCGCAGCTCTCGGCACAGGCCCACGGCTCCCCGAGTGCCGAGCCCAGCTGCCGGCCCGGGCCCCGCACCGCCGCGCGCGGCCCGCTGGGAGTGGTAGTCCGGCACCGTGGCCCGCGGGGCACGGCGGGACCAATAGTGGTGGCGCGGGGAGGGGCCGCGCTGCGGCCGGCGGGAGAACTACATGTCCCGGGGTGCCCCGCGCCGCTGCCGGCCCGCCCCGCCCCGCCGTGCGGGCGGAGGCGCAGCTGGAGCGGGAGGGGCGGCGAGGTGAGAGCGGGGCCAGGGCGGTGGGATCGGGATTAGGGGCGGGGACCTGGACCTGGATCGGAACCAGGACCAGGAGCAGGACGAGGACGAGGGGTGGGGGCGATGATGGTGATGCCCCCGAGGCAGCCGCTCGCTCCCTCTTTCCGCTGAGGCAGCCGCGCGGTGCCGTTGCAGATGAGCAGGGCGCGGGCGGACGAGGAGGAGTACTGGCACAGCTCCAAGTTCCGGGCTTTCACCTTCGACGATGAGGATGACGAGCTCTCGCAGGTAGGGAAGGTCCGCCCCCCTGAGACACCCGCGCCGGGCAGGGCCCCGTCGCCCTCCCGGCCCAGGCCTGGCCCCGCGCATCGCTTGGGCTCCGTGCTCCATGGTGCATGGGACCGTCGCCTTCTGCCCTGTGCCGAGGGTACCAGGGGCTCCCGTCTCGCCCCCCACAGTAGCTAGTCCGAAATCTCATCAGGACTGTGGTTCCCTTCACGAAGCTGCATTTCTTCCTGGTTGAGCTGTTTGTGTCTGTGTAGGGGAACCTTCGGGTTCCCAAGGTGAGGAGGGACTACTGTGTCTGCTAAACACCTACAGGACTAAAACACCTCCTCCAGAAGAAGCAATGGAAGCTGAAGAAGCTGTATTCAAAGCTCCAAGGGATGGTAACGGGAAACAAAGTGCACTCTTCAACTCCGGTGGTCCTTATTCCAGCTCTTTTGTCCATAGCTAAAGGAATCCAAACGGGCAGTGAATAGCCTTCGGGATATCGTCGATGATGATGATGATGACCTCGAGAGGGTCAGCTGGAGTGGAGAACCTGTGGGAAGTAAGTGCAGAAGTAGTGCAAGTTATCCTTGAGACAGAGAGAGTTTAAAATTACTGCTTGAGTCATGTCACTTAGGTCAGGAGTATTATTTGCTATCTAATCCTGCATATCTAATCTGATCCTAATCTCCCAGGTCAGGTTGTGAGCCTGAGTGAGCACTGGATTTACTTGAGTGGATCCACTTAAAAGAGAGTGAGCAGAAGCCCAAATTAAGTAAGGAAGAGGAGTGTAGACAAGTGGAGGGAATGCACCATATTTTTTCTAATATATAGCTTACAGCAGGTATTTTGGAGGTTATGGTTTGATATTCATCATGCTCAGGTGGCCTGCGAGATTCTAGGTGATCATTTCCTTCACAACACTGCCTGAAATGGCACCATTTAGAGTTTTCTGCGTTTTGACCCCACAGCACTTTAAGGAGATATTCCAAGGTTTAATGTGTATTTATAGAATTACTCTTATGCTTGAAATTTGAAAGGGAACTGTAAACATTAAGTAAGTGTGTTTCTGGTGTTGAGGGGAGTGAGCTCACGGCCCACACACTATACTGTGGGCTGCTCTTTGGAGTTCATGACCCACAGAATATGTGGCACTTACTAGCCGGTGCCAAACAATGAAAATTTACACATGGATCACCCAGAGGACCTTCAGAGACTCTGATCTTCTTGTCCTTTGCTGTAGCTCCTCCCACAGGCCATTTCTTTTCCTGCCCAAGGTATCTCTACCTCTTGGGTTTTTTCTCTATCACCCTGGTTCTAAGATGGGTGTTGTGCAGTTGCATGAAAAGAAGGGGAACTGTGTCTTAAACAATCAGAAGGAAGACACATTCCTTGTTGCTAGCAGCGTATGCACACTGATAGCTGTTTTGTCTCTGTGGGAAGTCTTCTGGTGTTAGGAAAGTCTGTTCCTAAGCTTCTGCAATTTGAGGTAGGCCAAGGACTCTCTGTCTTGCTTTGTACTTTTAGAACAAGGACTATGCTTTGCCCTGTGCAATATCATATAAATGTTGGGTGGTCTGTGCATTTTTTTACCTAAGCCATAACCAGCTGTACAACAGTGCTGAAAACAGCCATTTCTGGAGGACAACTTGCAACCGCTTAACAAGCAGTATTACATGAGACTGGGCTTCTGCATGGATAGATGCCCTGCATCTACCTAATGCTGAGGGTCAGAGTTACCAAGATGTGCTAGGGCAGAACTGGCCAGCACATACTTGGTAACATTCCTGCCATGCCATAAGATCATTCTTTACAGACTCTTTTTCTCTGTTATAAATGACCTTTGTCTGCACACAGGTATCTCCTGGTCAATCAAAGAGACAGCCTCTGGCAGCACTAGCTCGCTGGAGGGCCGAGACTCCAGCCTACAGAAGGGCTCTTCCTCCTATGCTGCGTTACCCAAACAAGCTTCTTCATACTCCCTAAGCAACCTGTTCAAAGGTGAGGATCATCATATACCATATGGACAAATGAGTTTTTGCTCAGAGTATCAAGGGGCAATTGTGCTATCTTACGTAAATTGTTTTATTGCAAAACAGGAACGTTCCATCTTGCCTCAGGTTAAGAGTGTATTGGTCACTAGTCAGAAACTGGAGACTGCCTTGTGCATGAGAGATTGCATGCTTTTGTGGTATGGGAGCAGGCTTTGGAAATTACAGCTTCTTAAAATCCAGGTTCCACAGAACAGCAGAGTAGAGCACAGCACTGTACAGCAATCCATTTGATTAGTGGAAAAGAGCAAGCTATGAAGGGACTGGCTTGATCCATGTAGCCCTCATTTGATCTTCAGTTCTGTAGAGAAGACAGATTGATTATCCTTTATTTGGAGCTCAGCTGGCTGCTGTTGATGTTGGTTCAGCAAACGTGTGGTAGCAGCAGTGGCAGCGTAGCTGGTTACAGGGAGAACTGTGCAGCAGGCCTTGGACAAACCTACACAGCTTGAAAGAGTTCAGCACTGTTGTCTCACAGCCAGACAACAAAACAGCTTTTACTTTGTCTCTCTTTCTCTGAGGTGGTTTTTTACCCTCAACTTTGATAATAAAGTGGTAAAGGCATTCAAATTGCAGCCCTGGTAGATGAAGCTGTCCATGGCCTATGCAGTGCTGTGTGCTTGAGCTTCTGCTCTGCAGGTAGATGAGTGCATTCAGGCATTCTAACTTCTTGGCCTCAGCACCAAGAGGGCAGACAGGGACGAGGTGTGATATGGTTTATGATGCCACAGGAAACATCAAAGCCTTGCACTGTAAGCAGGTGAGCCCAAGCTGTGCCAGTGTCATGTGAATCACTATACAGAGTGGCTTGTTCTATAGTGGCATAGCTGCAGCAAACTGGCTTGCAGTCCAAGCTTATGTTCCCTGTGGAAGAGATGTTGCTGGTGAGGAGACAGTCTCACATCAGTGTTTGTTTTTCTTTCAGGACGAAACAAACTTCCAAGTTTCCAGTCTCTTTCAGATGGTAAGCTTTGGATCCCTGCCTCATTTTGGGAGGGGCGCAGATTTACATAAAACAAAGCATTTGCAAAAAAAGGGAAGTGTCATCTGCCTTATGGGGCAGAAAGAGAAACTGAAACATGGCCTGTCTGAAAGTTCAATCATGGATTTTTCTTTCATCAAAGAAATTAAAAAATTGGCATGATGATTTGGGGTAATTTCTTACGTACAACTGACAGCTGTTCACTTTAGAGCAATGTTGTGTTGCCATTTGGTGCTTAAGTTGGGTCTTCTACCATGAAAACCAAGAAAAGGATGGTTTTGGAAATGGATGTGAATCTGGATTTTGATGTGCTACTCAGCTATGCCTTTCCCTCTCAGCCCTCACTGACACTGGAGTGAAAAACTATGCCCCAGAGCTGCGCAGACCAAAAGCTGAGTACAAGGTGAGCAGCCTGTGCTTGTTGTATGCTGAGATCAGAGAACTTCCTGCTCCACTGGTTTCATGGGAGGTGATTAATTGGTATTTCGGACAGCAGAGGGCAATGCAGGGAATAGGACAGAAAGCTGCAAGATGCAGCCTTACAGTAGTTTAGGTATTCTCTGCTTTTTCTCAGAAGTAAGGAGCTTTGCTGGGTGTCTTGGTTACTCCTTCTCATAATGAATAGCCCAGCAGTTTTTGTGAAAAGGATTTCTAAACAGTGCTTTGTTTCTAAACTGCTTTCATGCTGGGTTAGATAAACAGGCATCACGTGTGCTTTTTACATTTTTAAATCTGAAAGCTTTGAAATTTCTTTTCATCAGTCACTGGGACAACACAGAGGGAGAGTTCCAGCTGAGGAGAATGCGGAATGTTTGTCTCCCATATCGGCAGTGTTAGGTGTTGGAGAATCTAGTGGATTTTGGGACTGGGTGGATTCCTTCTGCTAGGTGTGAGGTTGTAGTTCCACGTCCCTAGGTCCACCTAGTAACAGGACTGAGCACATGTTCCCTACAGATACAGACATGCACAATGGGAACACAGCCGCCTGGATGGATTAACACAGACAGAAACCAATGCTTTTACAAACAGACACATAGAGTAAACACTCCAGCTTGATCCTGAGCCTCCTTTCTGTCTAAGCAGGATTGAATTCCATTAGTGGAACATAGACACACTCTATGGGTTCCTCCAGCAGCTGGTCTTAGACATCTGGTTTGTTTTGTAGCTAAATCTCAGATCCCAGTCTCCTCTGGTTGCTGGCACTTGGACCCTTGAGCCCCTAGGGTTCAAGGTCCCATGCCAATTCCTGGTTCTCAGACTGCTTATTCTGCTCACTGGCTGATGGATCTTGAAGTCCACTAACATTCATTCATATGAGCACATGGACTTGAACAAGTAGGGATTGGCTCAGTTGGTTAGAGCATGGTACTTTTCTGTGGGCCTTTTGGCTCACAGTTGTAATTCAGAAGGCTGAATTACAACTGCTGGCTTGAGTGCCTCACAGAGACCTAGACGCATTTATGGAGTCTGAGTTCAGGAGTGACTCAGACCACCTCCACTTTTTATCCACTGCTTTTAGGTCAGTGTCTGCAGGCTGCAGGGGAACAATTTTGGTTATTGCAACAGTGGTAGCATATTGCCTTAAAATGGTCTTGCTACAGGCTTCAATGCCCTTGTCACATTGCACTTGTCTTACGCGACTCTGTGCTGTTGTCCCTGTACTCCCTGTGCTGCTGTGGAAGGCTCACCAGCAGAAGTCTGAATCCTAACGTGAAACTGACTCCTTCCCCCTCAGTTTTGGGTTTGTCTGTTTTGAATGTATTTTGTTTGTCCTTCTGAAAGCAACATGGGAGTTTTAATTTGCAAGGAGGACAACCTGATGAAATGCACTTCAGGATATGACAAAGGACCTTTCTGAGGCAACAGAAAGGCTGTGTTAATGTATGAGACTTTAGCATCCCTCCCCACCAGCATATGCAGAGTCTGAGGGCTCAGAATCTGCACCTCAGCACTGTAGGGACATCCTACTAACACTTACCCTGAAGCAGCTGAATAATAAGTGTGAGAGGCTACACATCGGCCAGCACTGATGCAGCACAAGTGGAAAGCAGCTTGGAGACTGCTGACATGATCTGGCCTCTTGAGGCTTAAAAGCACTTTGTTTCTCTTGTGGCAGGATTACAGCAGTGACTGGAGCCCCAGAGATACAGTTAGGCGAATGCAGAGGGGCAAGGTAAGGACTTTCCATTCCCACCTGCTTGTAAGAGATGGAGAATGGGTTTACACTTTTCTATGCTCCTGGCTGTTCCAGGAGCAGGGAGGGGATCTGTGTTTCTTGCAAGACTTAGCAGGGATGGTGCTCTGCCTGTCTGTTGCTTTGCCAGGTGGCAGTGCTGGGATCACACTAGCTCAGGAGCAGCAGGAGACCTTCAGGGCTTTGTTGCTTTGTTTACTTGAGTTGTCCCCTCAGCGAGGCTCTGACAGGAGGTATCTATACTGCTGTGTCCCTCTCTACCCTTTCTGCTCTCTGGGCCTAGGTTTATTTTAAAAATCTGAGGGTGTGGGGCTTTATCTCCATTCTCAGTGGCAAGTGGAGGAAGGAAGATAGAATTGGTCTTGGTTACACTGGAACTGGAATCTTAGTCTCAGCTGCCTCAGTGTGCAGAGAGCACATAGGGAGGTTGTGGTTTTACTCTGCATGTGTCTCCTCAGGCTGAGAGGCCACAGATGTGGGGTAAGAAGAAGGGAGAAAGTTACAACTCTACTCTCTGTTTTCCTCTATGGAAAGGGCCCTGCAGAGTTTTCTTCTCCTGTCAGAACTAGTGGTTCATGGTGTACAGGAAAGTTTTGCTGTGTTACAAGGGTGTTTGTGCTGAATATACATTGTCTGCTGTCCTAGATGGGCATTAATGAAGGCTGGCTCTGCAGCTCCTTGGGACAGATTTCCAGGGATTATGCAGCCTGTGGTTTCAGCTAAATGAGAATTTCTCCTCTGGTTGGGAGGGCAGTTATTCATGTTACTGAAGGGCTAACGGGAGGAGGATAGATAATACCTTGTGGGTTGGTTCAGCCTGAAGACTGTCTGATTCCCCATCTGCCTGCTTATACCTCTTCTATCTCCAGGTCTGCTCTCTAGAGAGATTTCGCTCCCTGCAGGACAAGCTGGTGCTCTTGGATGAAGCTGTGGCAGGGCACGATGGGAATGTCATTACAGCTGTGAGTCCTATTGGGGCCATAGAGGGCTGGGACTTCTGGATAATCCCACAGAGGGTGCTTGTGAGAATGCATTCAGTTGGCCTCACAGTCTTGCAAGTTAAAACCAGTGTTTAGTTAAAACCAGTTACTGACAAGTGTCAAAGCTTAAGACCGGGAAGTTCCATAGTATTGCTGGCTCTTCTGCCACTTTGCAGAGTTCATGTTAATTCGGGTTAATAATAAGGAACCTGATCCATCAGCCTTACAGATCTTTGGAGTAGTTTCTTGAAGGTCAAAGTTTAGTTTGCTAATTGCAGCACAGAAAATTTGAGGGGTCTCACCATTTTTTCTGGCTTCTAAGACATCAGACAGTAAATGGGATTGTGTCAGAGCTTCCCTCATCTAGGATATTTAATCCCTTGGATCTTGCATGGAAAAGTTTTTCTTTGTAAATCTTGGTCCCACTTACCTAAGCTCCAAAGTAGGAGCTTAGGCAGGCATCTAGGCAGCTGTAGCCCTGGCTCACTGTTTGTCCTGAATCTAGTGGGTACCAGAATTCATTTCAGTCCTGTAAGAGCTTCCCCAAGCCTTGACCAGTCTGCTGTATGTTTGTTTGTCTGTCTGTCTTAATTCTGAGCTGCCTGTCTGTGCTCACAGGTCCTGATATTCTTGAAACGGACACTACGGAGAGGTGCGTGTGACTCAGGCTGGGGTTTCTATAGTGTGTTTCAGTTAAGGGCAGAGGAGCTAATTCTTTCACTGGGTGCAAGTCACAAAGAGAGCAGCTGGGGTATTGCCGTGTTTTACTGAGCAAGAAATACTTGTAATGAGTGTAATGTGGGAGGGGGGACAGTGATGCCCACAAAGAGCCTAGAGAGGATCTTTAAGCATTGGTAAGTGGTGGTGATGGGGTGAATGAAAATCTGTAGAGGTAGCACGTGGATGTGAATTCAGCTGGCAGCCCAGTGAATGGGCTCCTATGCTCTAGCCTCCAAGACTGTGACTTAAGATGGGATAGGGTTGTTGAATCCTGCCAGTGACTTGCAACTCCAGGCACTGTGCTTAGTCCCCTCTGGCTCGGTAGTGCTAACTTACTTTACTCACCTGTACATAATCTCTCTCCCCTGCAGAGATCTTGTTTCGGGAGCTGGAGGTGCGGCAGGTGGCCTTGTGTCACCTGATCCATTTCCTTAGAGAGACGGGTGAGCAGAAGTTGCTTCTGGATCTGCTCAGGTGAGGCTCTTGACCCATCCTGTGGCAGGGCTGAGCACACTGCTTGGAACCTGCCTCCAAGTTAATGCTTGATCATTCCCTTTTGCAGGTTCCTAGACAGGACTGAGGAAGTTGCTGTGAGTATTCCCAGGAGCATAAGCTCCTTTAGTGAAGAGGGAGTGTAGTGGGCAGGTAGAGGCTGGCTGCAGGGTGTCTGGTAGTCAAATGAGAGCTTTCCATCCCCATTTTGCCCTCTGGAATCCTGTATCTCCCAAATCCATGAGAACAGACTGCTTCTTTACCCTCTCTCTCCAGCTGTCCCAGTATCGGGAGCACTTGAACATCCAGGATGTAGAAAAAAGGAGGGAATTTCTAAAAGGCTGCATTGGGTAAGAAGAAATGCAAGAGGGTGGGAGGGATGTGGGTGCTTCACAGAAGGTGATAGTAAAGAAAATTAGACTCTGTCCCAGTGCCACAGCTTATGTGGTTTGAGAGCTGACGTTGGTTTTGCCTCAGTGGGAGTGCCGTGTTGCAGGCACAATGTAGACCAAAGAGGAGGTGATCTCTAGTCCAGCACCTTTTGCTACTTACTTGGGGGCAGAGATGCTTCAAAGGACTTTCTGATTGTTGACCCCTGAGGTTGTGCAAGATGGAAGTTTGGGTGCCTGAGCACTTGAGGAAGTGTGTAGCATCCACTTCAGGTTCTATGAGAGGTGCCACATGTTTCTTTCTCTGGAGCCTGTCTAGGAGGGAGCCAGTTGGAGGGGGCACTGTGACTGGGACTTGAGTACCTACTAGCCACTCAGGCTGGGGAGAATGGGAGCTGTTCCCACATCTCTGTCTGTGGGGAGCTTGTTTGGTAGAGAAGAGCATTTTTCCAAGTGTACTTAGAAGTGAAGGATGCTGTACTTGTTAAGAGCTGGTGATAATGTCTCCCTCCTTCGTGTTCTGGCCAGGCTGCCGTTCTCAGCTGAGGATACCTCCCACGTCCAAGACCATTACACCCTGTTGGAGCGACAGATCATCATTGAGGTATGAAATCTTCCCTGCTGGTCAGGGGATGGCTGGGATTACCTGTGATATCTCTTTCTGTCCCCAACTTTGGATCTAACCAGCCTGCCCTGGCTAGTGTAGTTTTAACTGCTCTCCAAGCTACATGTGAAATACCAGATCTGAGACTTCATAGCATGTTGAGGCTGTGCTTGCACATTACCATCACAACATTCTCCCCAGGCCACTATCCCACAGCTAAACAGGCAGTTCCCCTGGCTCATGTTCCCCATCTGTCTTCCTGATTCTGCAGGCTAATGATCGGCACTTGGAGATGTCTGGGCAGTCAGAGATATTTCGGAAATATCCTCGCAAGGCTTCAATTCTCAACATGCCACTAGTGACCACCCTCTTCTATTCCTGTTTCTACCACTACACAGAGGCTGAGGTGAGGATGATGTGGGAGAAGACAAGGGTTACATCTCATCCTTGTAGCCCTCAAGATGTGAGGTGGTCAAGCTGGAGCATGTTAAGGAAATAAAGGGAGACATCCCTCAGACAGACCTTGTCTGGGACCAGTTTTGAGTTATGTTTTGTGCTCTGAGACATTCAGCCTGGAATAGCTTGTCAGGGAGTTGCCTCCTAGAAACCACTGTCTTTTTACATCCTGCTCCAAGGAGCCAGAGTTGGCCCTAAATCCCATTAGGTTTAGGTGGGCAGTACTGGTCTTGGAAGTGCTGGAGTTACACCAGTTGAGGATGTAAGGAAACCAAACTGGTGGGAGAGAGCTAGTTGCTCTCTTCTGCCAGCTGGTTCCCCTGTGGCACTGATATGAGCAAAAAGCAGTAAAATCCTGGGGAGGTTCACCCTGTGCAAGGCCTTACAACAGGTGTCTGAACCTCTCCCATGGCCTGTCCTGCTGAGTTTGCACTAACTTGTCTGCTTTCTCTAGGGAACGTTCAGCAGCCCCACCAACCTGAAGAAAACATTTAAGGTGCGTGAGTCTCCCTCTGTTGTGGCAGCAGTAGCTGAAAACATGCACAGGCAAATTGTATGCAGTAAGGGGGCTCAGTAGGAGGAATTTGAAGGGCTCAACACTGAAATATGGAGGGGGGCATGGCATCCTTGTTGAGCAGGACCCTTCTGGAGCCTAGAAAGGTAAGTGGGAGCCATGTGGAGACTTTCAATGGAAGCACCCTGTCTGCAGCAGAACTTGCAAATCCCCACTTCATACTCCCTACAGTGCTGGCTGTGGCCTTGGTCAGTATCTTGCTGTTTTGCTTGGCTGTTGATGTGGGTCCTGACAGGGCTGGGGCAGATGCCATTCACGTCCAACCTACACAGGCTTTCTGAGCTGTGCTAGTGCTCTGACTGCAGCTTTCTGCCTTGCAGATTCCTGATAAGCAGTATGTGCTGACTGCCCTGGCTGCCCGTGCCAAACTGCGAGCCTGGAATGATGTGGATGCCCTCCTCACCACCAAGGTGAGCTGCAGAAAGCTTTGCTGGGGACCCAGTTCCAAGTACTGTATCTGCTACTGATAGCTGGCTTTTTCTGGAGTTACTGGACAGAGTGGTTTTATTTTAGCAGAGCCTAGCACCTCTTCTGCAGAGTGTTGCAATACATTTCTCCTCTCCCTGTGTAAGACCTCTGCTGGGCCTAGCTTGACTGCAGCAACAAGGCTGGAGAAGGGCCCTTGAGCTCCGTTACCAAAGGGTTTACAGGCAGCCTGTGCCCAGCCCCTGCATGAAGGGCTCTGCCAAGCATACATGTCTCAGTTTAAATGAGACACGGGTGCTTTGCTGAGGATGAGTTATGAGGAAGACCCAAACTCCTCCCTCTGAGCAATTGTAAATCTGAAATTAGGAGGCTCCAACTGAGGGAAAAAAAAAATTGTGGATAAGGAAAAATAACAGCTCTTTATTAGAAGATATATGTAGATTGGCAGAAGCAATGAAAGAAAACAAGTAAAACAACCAAACAATACTCCTATACCCACAAATAACCCCCTTCAAAACAAACCAATAAACAAAAAGGTGAACATTTCAGTTTTCACCCTTTGGTGCAATTCTAACCACAGTCAACAGAGGGCGCTGTTGGATCACCAGAGATGCAGAGCTTGTAGTGTCCTGTGGGAAGAGCCCTGTGGGGCGCTGTTGGATCACTGGTCATTGCCATGTTGGAGACACCCTCCTGGGTGTATTGGAGAAACCAAAAATGCATTTCCCTTCCCCCCCCCCACTAGGAAAGGGGAGAGAGAGGAGGGAAAGAAAAAAAAAGAACAAAAAAAAAAGTCCTTCCCAACGGGAACTCACTCTGTTCTGCTGGCTGAGTCGTGCGGTATAGTTTTTCTCTCTCCCTTTGTGCACAAGAACTGCTGCCAAGAAAGAAACAAACAGGAATGGAGAAGGGAAAACCTCCCAAAACAGTTCCTCTCCGATGAAAATCCAAGCAGAATCCACAGCTGACGGACAGGCTGAGAACAAAAAGCACACTTCCAGCTCCAGCAGCCAACCTGAACTCCTCCCCCCCTGTTTCCCAGGAGTTGAGAGGAAAAAAAGTAAAAAGAAACTCCTCACCCCTCCCCAAAGACAAGGTTCTGAGGTCCATCAGCTAGGAATGTGGCCTTACCAGCAACTTCTTTTGTGTTACTTAACTGCCCATTCAGCGTTCCCTCCACACAGGGGGCAAGTGGGGAAGGAAAAAATTCCCCCTTAGTTTTTAAGAACCAGTGAAACCTTGACAGTGCATTTGATGGCTGGTACAGTATGTTGCTGGCACTAGGAAAAAAGCATTTTCCTGTGGCTGGAGGAATTGCCCTTCTGGTTTAACTAAGGTATGGTTCTTGTTTCAGAACTGGCTGGGCTACACCAAGAAGAAGGCACCTATTGGCTTCCACCGGGTTGTGGAGATGTTGCAGAGGAACAATGCTCCTGTGCAGGTAAACAAGGAAGCACTGCTTATGTCCTCTTGCCCTTTGTTAGGATTTGGTGTTTTAATAACTCCCTAAGTGAGCTGCTTCCTAGTTTGGAGTGGGAGAACAGTTTGCCGAGCTGCTGGCTCTGCCGGGTGGGCACAGCACTCGGCTGAGCGACCCATCCATCATCAGAAAGTGTGGGTGATAGTGAGGGCTGGGTCCTAGGTCTGACTGCAAGTGTGAACTCTCTCGCTTTGTGAGAGAGTTCTCACCTTTCTTTGCTACGTTGAATTTTCTCTTGCTTAATCTGGCTGGCAGTTGTTAACCTGATCCATAGGAATGAGGTAGCCTAGGACTCTGAGCTTTGTCAGCAAAGCTTTACTGCCTCTGGGGTCCTGAACAATCTTTTCCAGGTCACTTGTTCCCTTAGGAAGGACAGGGTCAAGTCTGTGTGACTGGCAACCTTGAAAGGTTTTGGGACTAAGGTGAGAGAACAAGGCGAGAGGTACCTGCAGAAGGGAGCTGAGACATTCTTCCATCTGGGGCAGGTGCTGCAGGAGTACGTGCGCCTGGTGGAGGATGTGGAGACCCGGTTGAACCTTGCTACCAAATACAAGTGCCATGATGTTGTCATTGAGGTAAGCGCCTGCTGTCTGTGTGAAGAGATGGGACATGAGCCTGCTTTTTCTCTCTTAGCTTTTTTGTGCTCTGCCACATGCCATTGCTGTCATGTGCCTGGTGTGGTTTCTTGATCCCTGTGGCCTGGGAAAAGTGAAAAAGTTCCCAGTGGAAGTTCAGTGAGCCAGGAGAGTGACTCCTAGTATTTGTGTTATGAAGTAGTTCTGTGCTGGGAACTTGATGGGGTATTGTAGAGTTGCCCTGCTCATCTGCAGGGCACCAACTGTGGAAGTGTCCACTCAGCTGGGTGTTGGTTTTGCTGTTTATCTAGACCTACAGGGATCTAAAGGATCGTATCCAGCTGATAGCATATAAGTGCAAGGTGGAGCGGGGCTCTGCAGAAGAAGAGAAGATAAACAGTATTCTTAACAACATGGTAAGAAGTGCTTACTTTTTCTTCCAAAAGCTCTCATCAGAAATAGACATAGATAAGGTGTGAGGGCATGGTTGTCCTACATACTTTCTGTCCCTGCTGGGAAGCTAATCTTATGATTGGGGTTGCATTCAGCATAGGAACGTGCACATTCACGTGCACATGCACAATTCAGCACATTCAACTACTGGAACGTGCACCCTCTGGTCATAGCAGTCCTTGTCAGGGTTTGGGAGTCACTAACTTGGCCTCTAAGGGATCTGTGTTCAGCATTGCTGTTAGTCATGTCTTGTTCTCTCTTTTAGCAAATCCGGTGGAAGAACTGAGCACCTGTGAAGGAGCCTGTTTGGCCATTGCCTTGTCAGTGAAAGCAGAAACTGCAAAACCCAGTCCAGTGCCAGCAGAGCAGCTCTGTTTCTAATCATTGCATGATCAGCGTTTGTCAGTGACAGTGGGTGCCTGTGGCTTGAGGAACAGTGGCATTCAGGCTGGTTGAAGGCAGCTACTCAAATGTAGCCATCAAAATCATGGTACTGATCCATCAGGGTTGATTCTTTTTGGAATCTAATTGTCTTTGACTTGGCTGTAAGCCAGGCATCACTTTTGTTTATGGAGGGAAGTTGCTAGGCACAGCAAGGTTAATGTTTGCTCTGGGTGGTGCCTGGGCTTATTCTTGCAAGAGGAACGGTCAGTCACACTTGTGAGTCTTTCCACTGGACAGTGTTGCCCAGTCCCTGTAACACTCAAGCTGGCTTGGGCATCACCAATCATGGCTGTGGCTGGAGTAAAGCCTACTGGACCTAGTTCTCCTTGTGTCCAAGTATTGGAGGAAAAGACCAGCTGC